GGGGGGGGGGGAGGGAGGGAGAGAGAGAGAGAGAGAGAGAGAGAGAGAGAGAGAGAGAGAGAGAGAGAGAAGGCAGCTAATGCAGGACACAAGAAACGAGAGTCAGCAAGATAGCTGTGGATGAGAGCAGATGCTGAGTGGTCAAACACAAAGGGATGCTACTCTTAGTGCTAGAGAACTCAGTCCTCTGAGCATGGTATGATCATTGCCATCGTGGAATCGGAGCAGCTATGATGACCCACATGAGATGCTCATAACTAATATTCCCTTGTGAAAGGTGGTAGGGCCCAGAAAGCACACAGAGGCCTCCCCTTTCTGAGGATACTTCAGCAGTTAATGCCTGCTGGGGGAGAGGGAGGCTATTTCCTCAGTGCTGTAGTTACTTGTAAGTAGCACATGTTCCTAAAACTAGTCCTGGTTAAACTCATTCACTCACCAAGCTAGACTTGAGAAGTGGTTTTTAGACTCTTGTACAACATTCAGGAAGAGAAGGGAAAGTGCATGGCAGACTTAGACAGATTAAGGGAAAAGACTTTAGGTAAGGATGGATCCATCCTCACACCCCCTGCCAGAGAACAGGCTTAAGTACTCTTAGACACAGAAGGAAGAAAAGCAGAAATAAAAGAAAAATAGGGAACTAACCTAAACTTAGGGCCAAAGGTTGCTGGCCCCTTGTGAACAATATCATGAACTTGTACCCACCAGGGAGACAGGCATTCATTCCATACCACAAATAGTAGGCAAGAGGCTCTATAAACACTGACCCAAATCGCATAGCTAACAGCAATGAAGGATGTCAGTTGTACCTCCGCTTCCCACCCTTCTGGCCCATGTTGCCTTTACCCTTTTCACTGTCTTCTGGAAGACGGGACAGCTGCTTAGGATCCATTGACAAAGTTCTATCTACCCGGGAATCTTTTGTTTGTCCTGGTCTTGCTGAACTCCCCTCTAGAGACCATCTGTCTCCAGATTTATAGCAGTCCTCCTGCCTCACCAGCATGTGCCATTATGCTTGGCTACCCTGAAATGTTTCCCTGGGAAAATCTTATACACCCATTGAGAACAGGAGTGAGGATCTAGCTAACCCATAAATAAACAGAAAGCAACAGTAAGAAGACCCTGTGGTTTCCCTTCCTCCATTCAGGCCCCCAATAGCAGCAGATCAAATACTGCAAAAAAAGAAGTCAGTCACATCAGTGCTGACACCCAAAGATGAAGGCACACTTCCATGTTGTCTAACTCACCTATTAGTTGTGGTGGTACTTTCCTTAATAGGAACAAAAAATTTAGATGATGTCACTCTTTTATATTGAGCTTGTTCATATGGATAGAGCAAAACCAATGGGAGAGTATAATCAAAGGTAATTCGTAATCCATCCACCATCTCCTTACAGAGGTCAACACTAGGAGGATTGAGAAAGAAAAGATTAGAGACTCTGTAAAGTAACAGGTATTTTCCAAACTTCACAATAAAAGTATATTTTTAAGAGAGCAGACTTATCTTTATTATTTATGTATTTACTCTGAGGCAGAGTCTTCACCATGTAGTCCTGGCTGGCATGGAACTCACTATGTAGACCAGGCTAGCCTCAAACTCACAAAGCTCTGCCTGACTCTACCTCCTGAGTGCTGGGATTAAAGATAGGTGCCATGCAGCTGAGGGCAGACTTTTAAAACCTTATATATTCACTTACATATAAAAAGAATAAATACAATCTATAGATGCTAATAATAAAAAACATGGAAATATAGACCCTAATATAAAATGCAGGCACTATGATAATAACTTAAATGTATCCTTATAACACAAATGAACAGGTTTATTACAACATAAGACATCCTGGCAGCCCAGTGCTCGTGGCTCCTGTTCAACTGTAATACTATACATCCCTAACACTGATCCCGCCAAGTCACGACGGTATAGTAGGATTTGAGGAACTCTACTCTGACTAGAATAAAGAATTGTTTGGAGCTGAGATGACTCAGTGGGTAAAAAGCGCTTGCTGTACAAGCCTGACAACCTGAGTCTGGATCCCCAACATCCACTGAACTAGATGCAGTAGTGTACAAATCTGTAATCCCAGAGTTCCTGCGGGGAAACCTCTGGCAATTCAGAGGCTAGCCAGGGTGGTGGATCCAGCAGTGAACACTAGAGACTGTCCTAAGCAAGGCAGAAGGTGAGGACTTTACACCACGGGTTGTCCTCTCACCTTCAGATGGATGCCATAGCCCATATGCACTCAAACACATGCACACGTAAATTCATTTTAAAAACTGATCAGTCATAAGCAACCTTCTATCCAGTTCTCATTGCCCATTCTGCGTCCTCAAGTAGACAGTTCTTGTCCAAAGTGGTATCCCTGAAAATATTGGTCTTGATGACAAGGAGATCCATAATCAAGCCAGGTCTCATGTGGAATTAGCAAACACGTCACAAAAATCACAATAGTTTCATGCACACTGACAACTGAAGGAATAAGCAGCAAATTAGCTATGAAATAAGAGATGCATTCAATAAAACTGAACAAAGAGAATGATCCCTTGTTCAAAATTGCAATATATAAAGAAAAAGCTGAGGGTATAGCTTAACCCTCATGCATGCTAGACTAATGCTAGTTAAGTTCAATCCCTGTACCACAAACACAACACACACACACACACACACACACACACACTCCAAAACTAAACAAGAAACCTAACAATAACAACAACAAAACTAAATACAGAATCCAAAGCCCCCCCCATCACTCACTTCTTTTCTGCTGGGACATAGTGTACATTCATATGTGAATGCATCATGCCATGATGGTGACGAGGCCTCTCACTGGCTGAAAAGGCTGCGTTAATAGCAAAATGCTTCACATAGGATTCCAAAATTGTTATGACGTTGGTCTGGCATGGAAGTTTCACTAACTGTTAAGAAAAATATAAACATCTAATACAGACATCCCATTATAATCAAACATGTATTACAAGTAGGAATAGCAATGGCTCTATCAGTTTAACTTTGTCAATTCTGCCTACGAACTTCTCAGTTAAATATGTCTATAAGCTCTTTAACATTCCTTCCATCCACTGATCATACTCATATATTACTATTGTCTTATTGTCTTGAATACACAGATGTGATGATTCTCAGGCTTAGCATTGTACTAAGAAATTTGGGAAAATCTCTCCAAGTATTACCAAGAGATGTGCCTTTACCCTAGCAATTAAATCCTAATCAATCTTATCAGCTCTTTTTGCGACAGGGTGTACTAAATAGTTCGGGCTTTCCTGAAACTCTCTAGGTAGAGTAGGCTGGCCTTGAACTCACAGTAATCTCTACCTCCCTCTGCCTTCTGCGTGCTGGGATTAAAGGTGTGTGCCATCATTCCTGGCTTAATTCCTAATCTCAGTTGAAGCCCAGGTATCAGAATTCTGAAAAGCTCCCTGAGGGGCTCAAATGGACAGTATATGTTATCCAAGTCTTAAGTTCTGCAAGAACCCAGCACCACTGTTAGTCAATCTTATAACTGGACTGTTGTGGAATATTAGTTTAAGATGAGTTACATTTGTTTATGCTGTAGAACATTTGTTTAATGATGCAAAGCTGTGCTGCATCCTTTTGTGCTGCATTTGTTTAACTCTGTGAAGCTGTGTTACTTTGGCTGCCTAAAACACCTGACTGCTCTAATAAGGAGCTGAACGATCAACAGCAAGGCAGGAGAAAGGATAGGCAGGACTGGCAGGCAGAGAGAATAAACTGGAAGAGAAATCTGTGAGGAGAGATGCAGGAGAAAGAGGGGTCAGACACCCAGCTCTACAACAACCCATGGAGTAAGAAGAAAGATATGCAGAAATAGAGAAAGGTAAAAGCCCAGAGGCAAAAGGCAGATGGGATAATTTAAGAAAAGCTGCCAAGATACAAGCCAAGCTAAGGCCAGGCATTTATAAGAAAGAAAAAACCTCTCTATTTGTATTTATTTCAGAGCTGAGTGGCGGGCTCCCAGAAGAGTCAAAGAGCTAACAGTAAAACCACCACCAACACTGGACTGAGTAGAAAACTGGAAATGAAACTACAGTCTTTCCATACTGCCTGGTTTTTGACACTGTGACTTCAGAATACAGTCAAGTAGAAGCATCCCAAAGAATCCATTCCTCCAGCATACCCGTTTCCTCCTGTTGATATAGTAACAGTCATCCTCAAGCTGCTTCTTGAGAACTTCAGGGATATCTATGGTTATTGTTCTTTCGTCCATGTCCTTTCTTGAGCGCAGCGACAATCCTTTTTTTTTCTGCAATATCACAGTTGTATTTTTAGTTAATGAGAACAGTGGGAGAGGTCACCACAGAAGAGTCTGCTATGCAACAAAGCCAGTTACATCACCATAGTCACATCATGCCACATGTCCTCCATGAAAGGACAAGACATAAAGATACTATGCCACATTTTCAAGTGTTTTTCACAGCGTTAACTACATTCCAAGTTCACTTTTGTTTCTTCCTCATGTATGATTATCATTGGGGTTTATGTCCAATTTGGAGGCAAGCAAAAGCCAATCTCTGTTATGCACCATTAAAAATGAATCATTATAAAATACAGTTCACAATCTTACTTTAAAAAGATGTACGCTTTGTGGAAACACTCCGTGGGTATAAAACATAAATGATGCTATAAACACGCTGTCTTTTCTTAAAATGTCACAATGAATTCATACTATTGGTCTGAGAGGTATGTCTTTTGGAAAGAACTCCTAACCTGAGAATTTTGCCACTACCATAAATATCAAAGCTTCTACAATACAAACTTTTTAGTACCGCTTTAGTCTTTACTTTAATACGCCGCCGGCGATGTTCTTTTAGTTCTTCATTCTTTCTGCCACCGCTGTCCTGACAGGTACTGCTTATTGCTACATAAAACAAAAACATCAGATAAACTCATATTATATTCTTTGACAATCCTTACATTTGCACATTTTTAGGTGGCGCATGCACTTGACTAAGAAGAACCATCTGTAGTTCTGCATACATTTTAAATCCTAAACACAAATACTGTACCTTTCAGAACAGAAACTTATTTTGATAAATATAACTCCAATTTCAATGGATACAAAAATCACACGAGCTAATGATCTGAAAGGGTTTCACCAGCTAGGATCCTATGGTTCACTGTTGGAGTCATAAGTGGTGGCAAGACCCTGGAGGTATCAAGAAGAAAATGGACTGTGAGAAAGGATCTGTGCGGGCTCGCTGGCTGAGATGAAGGTGCTCACTGCTGAGAGTCTGAGAAAGTCTTATACCGACATGCTAACTGATCAGAGTGACTGCCTCTGTAATTACCTAAAATAAACCAAGCACATAGTACAAAGCTGCTCCTTCACTTACGATAGAGTCCCACCTAAATTGATGAAAATACAGGCAGCGTACTGTATATCATGGCTGACTACTCTTAAGGAACTCAGAACACATATATTAGCCAACAATTGGGCAAACTCATTGAAACAACGCTTACCTTATGGCAGTGTTAAATATCTCATGCATTTTATTGCATATTGTACTGAAATTGGAACACAAAAATAGTATATTTTCATACCACCATAAAGTCAACAAAATCTTAAAACTGGAGAACATCTGTATGTTATGAGTTTGCACTATTTCCCTGTCTATAATTTCAATGACTCTTTCACTCAATCTTGAGGTCTAAAAAGATTACATGAAAATGGTTTTAGTTGAGGAAAATAAAAGGCACTCACAGTTTTCGTCATTTTGAGGTTTTTCTTTAATTGGCACACTTTTTAAGACAGAGTCGACACCAGGTACCCTACAGTGTCTCTTCTTTTTTCCTGTACCTTTCCTGAAAACAATAAACACAATTAAAATAAACTTTCAGTCTCGTATAGGAGTTGGAATCCACAGAGGACATGATAAATAATCATTCTTAAATCAAATTTTAAAACATAATGGTAATCCTCACTACCAAATGGATACGACTCATTATGGAAAACATCTATGAGTCCTGTATAATACTATAGAAACTCATTTACTTTAAATATGTAAGATGACTGAAATCTGTCACTTTATTACTTTTAGATCATAAAAATCCAAAACAGTTTAAAAAAAACATACTGAATAACACTTCCATCAAAGTTTTTGTATCCTTACAGGCGAGCTATTGCTTTTCTGGCCAATTTACGCTGTAACCTCCGATTTTCATCTGTATCACGAAGCACATGGTCTTCGGCTGCCCATCTATCCCAACTAGTTGGAAAAAGGAAGAGGATGTAAAAGTAAAAGTCAGTATTTTGAATCAAATGAAACGAATCCTGAAAAGCATCACTAACAAGTGCCCCATAGTTACTGACATTTCAGAAAGCTCTATGAAGACTTCCAAATCACCAGGAGGGCGTCAAAGAAGCACAAAACGAACTCAGTTCTGGTCACCAGGGATTCCACAGATTACCCACAGGTAATCCAAACATAGCTGATTTAAAGTAAGCATGCCTCAGAATACGAAAGCTTTCCGCAGAAGCAGGAAATTAAACTTTTTTACATGTGTTTCTAAATCTTAAAATTACAAAATTAGTATGCTACAAAGGCAATTAATATTTAGTCTGATTGTAGCAAGTTCACTCACCTACTGTTCCAACCATTAAAATGTATCAGATATTCTGGAATCTTTCTGCCCTTTTCGTCTTTCCCGACAATAACATCGACGATCTGAAACCAGGAAATAACTGCTCACGAGTGGCAACAATAAACCAAAAATTATGTTAAAATTATAAGTTTTTTTTTTTTCAAAAACCCAGATCACAGTCCCTTTTTAAAGGAAAAGAATTTGTTCCCTTTTTAGATCGAGAGCTGGGTTGTAACATTCTTCAACATATTTTTTTTTTTTCTTTTGCCTGAGTGGTTGCCTCAAAGTAGGAAACATCCGTCCAACCAACCCACGATTGGTCTCTTGAGTTTGAGACCGGGTGAAGCTTTCTGAAGCCATTGGTCGGTAGATTTGTCATTAGCTAGGACCCAGACTAGAAATAGCAGCCCTGAGACCTCTGGGAGTTGTAGTCACCCTGGCCTTGCCTTGTCCGGTGTCCAGTCAAACTAGCCAGAGACTTCCACAACTCTCCCCCTCCGTCCCCCACCCCTTAATAGCCTTGCATCTCCGGAGGGAACTTCTGGCACAAATCAAACAGCGTGTCCTTCCCTCCCCTAGCGACGCAGCAAGCTTGAGGGATGGCAAAAAGGATTTAAACAGTGACACGAGTTGCAGGAGACACCAAAGGGACATAACCCAGCCCAGACTTTGGGGTGGCCCACAGGACAGCACCACTTAAACATCGCTAAAGACGCACCTGGGGCTGTTCCAAGTTGTCTCCGCCACCAAGGACTTCGCCTTGGTGGCTGGAAACACTGACGCTCGCCCCGACCCCCAGCGCGCTGATTTTCACCCTCTTGGGCACCGGAGCACTTAGGTGCCCACTCCCTGCCCTCCACTTAAAAACTGACAACTCCAAGGTACAGCTCAGCCCCGGCTGACTGAGCTGGATAAAGGCAATGCTAAATTCTTTCCTAGCCCTGTCGGTCTCCTACAAATCCTTTAAATTGCGGATGTCAAAGCGATTGAGCAACCCCGAGCCCCTTCCTGCCACCCCTCCCCCAGGGTGGTAGTTAACTGCCTGTGATCTTAAACTGGACTCGGGTCCCGGGTCCATGACACCGCCTCCTGACAGCTGCCAAGAAACTGAGGCCAGGGTTGAGGGGTTGAGGACGTGGGTGGGTCAATTGGTCAGGGTGTCCTCTAGGGAGCCCACGCGGCGCTGAACCGCAGCGGACGTGGACTTATCGCAAAAGCAGAGGCCTCAGGTGACAGTCCTCCTACACCGGGCGCCCGAATTGGCGCCCAACGATCAAAGCACCATCCCGGCCTAGCAACCGCGCCTAAATGACGCAACACGACCGGAAGCGGAAGTAGAAACAGAAGGGTCGCGGATCCTTCCAAGTTTAGGGTAGTTGAGCGCCTTAAGCGTCTCGTCAGCGTCCCCTGCCGTCCCGGGACGCTCTGCGGGGCCAAGGCGCACCCTGGTGGCTGTCCAGTGCTCCAAGCCACTTGTCCTCCGCTGGTCCCTTTGCCTCCCATCCCCGGGGCCCAGACCCGTGCCTCCTCCCTGTCCCCCCCGCGGCGGCACCTTGGCATCGTACAGCACTCGCGCCTTGGTGGGGTCAGGCTCGAAGCACAGCACTTTCTCCCCAGAGTGGAATTGAAATTTCATGCCCTCGCTCGCGCTCATTTGCTCATCGTGGCGGAGGGCGAGGCTCCGGGGCGGGTGGAGCGCGCGTGGTAAGGGAGGACGACCGGGGGGGCGGCGCTCCGCCACCGGGGGGGGCCGAGAGTGGCGGAGGCTATGACCGCCCCGCCCTCGGCCCCTCCTCCGGCCACCCCGCGCCGCTGAGGGGACCTCGGCCGTGGCGTTGGAGGCGCGCGTCCCCGTCCCCGCCAGGGCTCGTCCCCGCCCTCTCCCTCTGGGGCTCCGGGAGGGGTGCGGGCGGGGACCAAGACCCCGCGACCGAGGTCTTCCTGCAGAACGTCCCCTCTTGTTCCCATGGGCTAGGGTCCCCGCGGCTTCCAGGCTGCGCCCACGCGTGCGCGGGGCCGTCGCCTCTGGCGCGTGCTCTCCGGCCAGAGCGTGGGGGTCTCTTAGGGAGACGGCTGCTCTGGGGTAGTCATCAGGCTCCGGGGAGATTGGATGGCGTCTGCCCCCAGGAGCCTCCTGGCCGTGCGCGCGCATCAGCCCTCTCAGCGGTGCTGCGCGCCGACGAGTGTGGCCACGCGAGAAGGACGCGGTGTTGGAGCTGGCTGGAGTCGGGCAATGGCCTTGGGCGAGGGGAGGAGACATTCCGGCCAGTGAATAGAACACTCTGTCATCCTTCGGAAAGGACCAGCAGGTAGCAGGCCTGGAGGGCCCAAGTGATCAGTGGGCAGCAAGGCAGATGGGTCTTTAAAGGGTCGTTAACATCTTATGTGTCAGTTTCCAGCGCTCCTGAATTGCTCCCTCACGATCTGTCTTCAGTGGCTCAAAACCTCCTGTAGAGTGGAAGCATCTTTGAGCCCGTTGTTAACAGGGTACCTGCTCAGAGGTGGAGTTCGGTAAATACTCCGTGAATCAGTGATCAGGGGATGGGAGACTTGCAGCGTAGACCTTCAGCGACAGGGAGGGCGGAGCTGGCTGGTTTCTTCTAGAGTGCAAAGCCCCTAAGCTGTGGAGTTACTGGATGAAGACCTGGCCAGAAAGCAGAGCCGAGCGGCGGGGAGGTTAATGCGTGCAGGTTTAGTGAACTGCCTGGTTTCCTATACTATTCTGCTTTTGCCTCTTGCTTCCAGAAATTTGCACTCGCCTCCCCTCCCCCACCCCCACCCCCACCCCACCCCCCGCGCCACTCCTCCCTCTCTTGGTACATGGCACCCATCTTTCACATCGCCATTTGGGCACTTCCAAGAGAACCCCTTGTCGTAGCCACACGTTGGGGTGACATGAATTACAATTACGTACCCCCAGTATCCCCTCCCAGCCCTCAACTTACCTGTTTCTTGCATTGACTGCTCTGGCTGATGAATGGGTTCTCTTCATTTGCAAAATGCCCCCATTAAGATGGGAAGCTGCTGGAAGCTGGAGGTTGGGGGTGTCTCATCCAGTCCATCATTGTGTACTCCTGGTACACAATGAATATTTAATGAATGAATGAACAGGTTGCAGATTTATGAAATCGAATCCATAAAACTCAGTTGCCAATTGGATATGAAGGAGGGGAGGGAGGGAGGGAGGAATCTTGGGAGACCTCCAGGTTTTGTAGCTTAAGAAGCTGGGTGAGTGATGGCTGCACTGGCCAGATAGGAAGAGGAGGGACAGGTTTGGGGAAAATGGCCAAATGATGACTTGTATCTAAGATAATATTGTCGGTAAGCCAGAACTGGAGCCCTGATTCTCCAGGGATGTGGGCAGTAGATGCTCAGAGTGTTCTCTGCAAATTGCAGGGCCAGCGCTGAAGCACAGGTAATTGCTTGTCACGTGTAAGCCATAGCTGAAGTCTTTTGGTTTTTCTTGTTCAGGAACAGAAAGTTCCGCTCCATGCTCTAACCTTTGGGGGGAAGTGAATAATTCTTCTGTTTCTATTCATTTCTATCTTAGGTCACTGGTCTCTTTCTCTGCCTTTTTCTATAAAATCCAAGAATGACATATCTATGTATCACATATGTCTGATTCTCTCTCTTTCTCTCTCTCTCTCTCTCTCTCTCTCTCTCTCTCTCTCTCTCTCTCTCTCTCTCTGTGTGTGTGTGTGTGTGTGTGTCTAATTGTTAGAATGGTAACAGTCTTGCCCCCCCCCCCTTTTTGGGTTAGGATCCACTGGAAAGGTGGTTCCATCTCTTACCCAAATGACCCACCCTTTGCCCTCATGGGTGAAAAAGACGAAGAACTCACTGAAGTCTGTAATTTAGTCTCTGTGAGGCCCAGTCCCATGATTATCACATTCTGGTATGTGACCTTGGACAAGTAATTAGTCTCTGTGAGATGGTTTTGTTATACTTAAGAAAAAAAATTGGCTTTAAAAAAGAGTGACTCCTACTTTAGAAGGAGTAGGTAAAGCATTCAGTTTGTATGGCTTTATTTAGTACCTGGCATATAAATGCTGGGTAAATGCTTAATGTTAGGCATTTCCTATTAGCTCACCTGGTCTCTCATTTGTTCATGTAATAAATATTGAGCCTCCTGGGTGCTTAGAGGCTAGGAACATCAGGCATAGTATATACATCACTCCTAGCTTCTAGAATGGCAAAGCAGTAAGCAAGCAAGTTGGAGCCTTCTGAATACTGTGATAAAGCTAGCGTGGAAGAGTGGTGGCGCACGTCCTTATTTTTACCTAGGAAGAGGGTACTGTCACAATAATCTTGGAAACTAAAATGTGTCAAAGTACTTCCAACATGGCAATGTTGGGTCCCAGCCCTGTACTTATCAGTTACTGTTTGGTTTTGTTTTGTGACTGAGTCTGCTGTATTACCCAGGCTGGTCTGGAACTCTTGAGTTCAAACAGAGCCTCTTGCTTCAACCTTCCCAGTCCCTGTGGCTGCAAACCCGGTTCTGCACCCTCAGCGTCAAAGCCTTGGTGTCAAAGCCTCGTTTTTGTTCCCGTGTTTGCTCTACTCCAGCACAGAATGGACCCCCAACAAGGGTCGTGGGCAGGGCAAAACTTAATTAGGCTGATACAATAGCATTCACTTCGGGGATACATTTGAAACAGCAGGGGAATATTGGAGACACACTGTTGCCAGGCATTGTAATTTTCTTTCCAAGGCTTCCAGGTGACGTCAAGACACAGGCAGAACTGAAAAATATAGATCTAAACTAATCCGCAATCCTTTTTTTCTCTTGCAGAAAGCTAGGCATTACCATGTGATCCACTCTTGGCCAATAGGAAGTTTTTGTATAGGCTAGGTGAAACACTTTGATGCAGTTTGAAGTAACCCCTTCCTCGCTGGGCACTGTTTATTCTGCGTAGGAACGTGGGTAAATACCATAGTCATCTTAATAAGAGGGAGTTTTGTCACTGTTACTGACGCTCTGAGTGTGAGATAGCCCATAGATTTGCTGTCCTGTGTCATTAATGTGTTTGTTGTTAAACTTAGATTCCCCGAATTAACAAGACTTCTTGCTGTGTAGCATAATATACCCCAGAGCAGCTAAAAACATCCTGAGCACATCTCTTGTGCAGGTATAAAGTTAACAGTCTTTACATCTAGCGTATCTGTGCAGCCAATTATGGTAATGTGAGGGAGGCCTTCAGTAATAAGCATGTGCTTTTCCATGGCCGTGCAGACAAAATTGATGGAGTGGAATAGAGGAAAACTAATGACCCATTTACGGTGTGTGTTCAGTCAGAATGTGTGTTTTATTCTGGAAACAAGCTTCAAGGGCCCAAGGATCTAACTCAGATGGTAAAATGCTTATACAGTCTATGGGAAACTCTGTTTTTACCTCAGCATGGTTTAAATCGGGTACGGGGCGGGGGCTCACCCAAGTAAGCCCAACATTTGGGAGGTAGAACAGGAAGATCAGGAGTTCAGCATCATCCCTAAATATATAGCAAGTTAGAGGTCAGTCTGGAATACATGACATGGGCTGTGGCAGAGGGAGTGGGGGGCAGGGGACACCCAAAAAGGAATCCTAGACCGATCCATTTATAAAACTAAGAATCATAGAAAAAGGAACCTCAATTGAGAATGAGACTTCAATG